CCACCACACCCTTCTTTTTTTTTTTTTTTTTTTTTTTTTTTTTTTTTTTTTTTTTTTTTTTTTTTTTTTTTTTTTTTTTTTCTTGAGATGGAGTCTTACTCTGTTGCCAAGACTGGAGTGCAGTGGCACGATCTCAGCTCACTGCAACCCCTGCTTCCTGGGTTCAAGTGATTCTCCTGCCTCAACCTCCTGAGTAGTTGGGATTGCAGGTGTGCTCCACCATGCCCAGCCCACTTTTTCTGTATTTTCAGTAGAGACAGGGTTCTACCATGTTGCCCAGGCTGGTCTCGAACTTCTGACCTCAAGTGATCTGCCCGCCTCGGCCTCCCAAAGTGTTGGGATTATAGGCGTGAGCTACCATGCCCGGCCCCAAATTTGGTAATATTTGTGTATAAAAAGAGAAGGAAAGGCCAGGCACGGTGACTCCCGCCTATAATCCCAGCACTTTGGGAAGCCGAGGCGGGTGGATCACAAGGTCAAGCAGTTCGACACCAGCCTGACCAACATGGTGAAACCCCATCTCTACTAAAAATACAAAAATTAGCTGGGCATGGTGGCACGGGCCTGTAATCCCAGCTACTCAGGAGGCTGAGGCAGGAGAATCGCTTGAACCTGGGAGGTGGAGGTTGCAGTGAGCCGAGATCACTCCAGTGTACTCCAGCCTGGGCAACAGAGTGAGACTCTGTCTCAAAAAAAAAGATTTTCTAAACTGTGATCTTTATAAGCTCATGAAGTTTTACTTGGTAAAGTTTTTTTGTCTTTTGTTTGTTGGAAGGATTAGAAACTTAGTTAAAGAATAGATATTGCACAAAATGGGATGATCTTCCCCAGCCAGTACTTCAGGAAGTAGAAACAGTTTAACATCTTGGCATTTGCCATAATGGGACAGAGTTTATCATCTGAACCTGCATTTAGGTATGGTGAGTCCTGACTTCAGGGAGTACAAGTAAAAATTAAACGTACTGCAAAAATTTTACTTTGCTTTTGTACTAGTATTGTTTAGAAACCTGAATTTAGTTTTTCTGTTCTAAATTATTTTGTTAATTTCTTAAATTAATATTCTTTACCTAAGAAGAGAGATTGAATTGTGAGATTTCCCAGATGGGGTGGGCTGTGCAGCAGCATGGCTTTTATCCTCCATGCTGTGGAGGAGTGTGGTGACACTTCTGGTGAATCCCCTGCCCAGTAGCTTCACAATCTTGCCAAAGACCGTCAGGTTGTGGAAACTTCATAATCTACAGTCACACTAATGAGGAACTGTTCTTAGGAACATTCAGTCAAGTTTCCTGTTGGCAACAGAAAGGTTATTTTATCAAATCCCCAAAAGGGGACCCTGGTTATCTGTAACAGAGCAACTGCACAAAGAATGGGTTCTAGTTTAGCCTGGAGAATTTAGGGATTTAAGACTCTTGAGCCTAATTTTCTTCACTCCTCATCTCCTTTTATCCTTCTAAAGTTTTGTTTGTTATTATAAAAGCTGTACATGCTGTGTCTGTGAGAAAATACAGGCAATCAGAGACGGTTCTGGTTAATACCCCATATACCTTTTTTACTGATCTTTCCTTCCAGTTCTTGCATCATACTTCAGGTATAAACTTGGTATTTGGAATGGACTGCCTTCCTCCCTGCCCTATAAAGTCCAGATTAGCTTGAATTGTGAGATTCTACACCAGCATTCCTCCCAGGGACTCAGTTCCTTGTAGTGATTAGCCCCTTTTATCTAAGAATTTCTAAGTCCCCGAACAGACAGAAATGGCTTCCTTCTCTTTTCTTTCCTATACTTTTGTCATTCAGGCAAAATAAGATTTAAAGGTGAATTGGTAAACAAGTCTACACAGTGCTAAGGGGAGCATCATCTTAGCTTCAAGCTCCTGGTTGAGTTAAAAAAACAGAGAAAGATGATTGTGGATTAGAGATTATAAGGCAGATGTTCTTGTGGTGAGGCTCAGGAATTGGAGTGAGGGGAGTGGTGAAAGTGCAAGATTGCTGTGTCCTTAAAGGATGCCTATTGTTCTTACATCACCAAAAAAGTTGGTTAAGAGGTTTTCATCCAGATACAGAAGTCTGAACTCTTGTTTTTTTTTTTTATTCTGGGGCCTAGGGTGACTACGTGCACAAGTCTGTGTTTATCATTTTCTTCCAAGGCGATCAGCTGAAAAACAGAGTCAAGAAAATCTGTGAAGGGTAAGAGAGGCATGCCTCTACCAAGAGTGCACAGCCATGCCGCCCAGCTACTCAGCAGTCTTAAAGTTCAGAATAGTGAAATACAAATCCTTTTTAGTCTACCTTGACACAGTGAATGTACCTCTTAATACTATTAGGGCATATTTTAATCGATTAGAAATAGCCTAAATTCATTTTTATTTTTGTTGTTCAGGTAGGGGATCTCACTCTGTCGCCCAGGCTTTAGTGCAGTGGCATGATCACGGCTCACTGCAGCTTTGACTTCCCGGACTCAAGGGATCCTCCTGCCTCAGCCTCTAGAGTAGCTGGGACTACAGGCGTGCTCCACCATACCTGGCTAATTTTTTGTATTCTTCATAGAGATGGGATTTCACCATGTTGCCCAGGCTGAACTGGAACTCCTGGACTTAAGGGATCTGCCCACCTCAACCTCCCAAAGTGCTGGGATTACAGGCATGAACCACTGCAGCTGGCCTAAATTCTTTTTTTCTTTTTTCTTTTTTTTTTTTTTTGCGCAACTGAGTTTCACTCTGTCACCCAGGTTGGAGTACAATGGTGCGATCTCAGCGAACTGCAACCTCTGCCTCCCAGGTTTAAGTGATTCTCTTGGCTTAGCCTCCCAAGTAGTTGGGATTACAGGCATGCGCCACCACACCCAGCTAATTTTTTTGTGTGTGTGTGTTTTTTAGTAGAGATGGAGTTTCACCACATTGGCCAGGCTGATCTCGAACTCCTGACCTCAGGTGATCCTCCCACCTTGGCCTCCCAGAGTGTTGGGATTGCAGGCGTGAGCCACCACTCTTAAATTCATTTTTTAAAATACCATCAGAATCACAATTTTGGCCTGACACAATGGCTCATGGCTGTAATCCCAACACTTTGGGAGGGTGAGGCAGGAGGACTGCTTGACCTCAGGATTTGAAGACCAGCCTGGCCAACTTAGCGAGACCCATCTCTATTAAAAACTAAAAAAAAAGAACCACAATTTCCTTAACTTGGGAAAAAATAACTCTAAGGACTCATGATTTATAAATGCCATATTATTCTGGGACAGTGAGTCTCCATACTTAGCATAGATGCTATGTCCTTAAATTTCCTGGAATCCTGCCTTAGGGACAGATTTTTTTTTTTTTTTTTTTTTTTTTTTTTTTTTGGTTTTTTTTCTTTTTTTTTTTTTTTGAGTCTTGTGCTGTCACCCAGGCTGGAATGCAATGGCACAATCACAGTTTACTGCAAGCTTCATCTCCAGGGTTCAAGTGATTCTCCTGCCTCAGCCTCCCAAGTAGCTGGAATTACAGGTGCATGCCACCGCGCCTGACTAATTTTTTTATTTTTAGTAGTGATGAGGTTTGCCATGCTGGCCAGGCTGGTCTTAAACTCGTAATCTCAAGCGATCTGCCTGCCTCACCTCCCAAAGTGCTGGGATTACAGGCATGAGCCACTATGCCTAGCGTTTTTTTTCTTGAGTCAGCGCCTCACTCCATTGCCCAGGCTAAAGTGCAGTGGCATGATCACAGCTCACTGCAGCTTTGACTTCCCGAGCTCAGTTGATTCTCCCACCTCAGCCTCACAAGTAGCTGGGACTATAGGCACGTGCCACCATGCCCGACTAAGTTTTGTATTTTTTTGTGGAGATGACATTTCACCATGTTGCCCAGGCTGGTATTGAACTCCAAGACTCAAGCAATCCACCTGCCTCAGTTTCTCAAAGTGCTGGGATTACAGGCATGAGCCACCACGCCTGGCCTAGGGACAGAATTTTTTCCATGCCATCCCTCTCTTTTAATTTACAATATTATTTGCCTTTTTTTTTTTTTTATAATTTCAAAGAAATTTCATAGCTACAGAGAATGTCAAGATAGTTCAGATGTTATAATTACTCTGTCTGCAGGTCATTTCACATAAATAATGTTGACTTAAGCTGGACGCGGTGGCTCATGCCTGTAATCCTAGCACTTTGGCAGGCAAAGGTAGGTGGAACACCTGAGGTCAGGAGTTTGAGACCAGCCGGGCCAACATGGTGAAACCCCTTCTCTACTAAAAATACAAAAATTAGTGAGGTATGGCTGCAGGTGCCTATAATCCCTGCTACTTGGGAGGCTGAAGTAAGAGAATCACTTTAACCCGGGGGTGGAGGTTGCAGTGAGCCGAGATCATGCCACTTCACTCCAGCCTGGGTGACAGAGTGAAACTCCATCTCAAAAAAAAAAATAGTATTGACTTAATACATCCATCTGACCTAATCCTATTTTGGTTCTTCTGGTACATTAGGATTACTTTCTGAGATTATTTAAATTGGATAAATTAAGAAACTTTGATGATTCTAAGGCTATGTCTATACATTCCAGGTTCCGAGCCTCACTCTATCCCTGTCCTGAGACACCACAGGAGAGGAAGGAAATGGCTTCTGGAGTGAATACCAGGATTGATGATCTCCAAATGGTACACAAAAGGCTGGAGGAAACTTGTTTTTGGGGAATACTGGAATACAAAACCATTCTCCCTCCTTGAAACACTAATAGTCTGTAAGGCACCTAAAGCAAACCAGAATACCAAAAAAAGAAATGTGCATGGGTAATATATCTTTCTGGGAGCTGAGAAAGTCTCAGGGAATAACAGTTAAAAATAGCATTAGCCATCCTCAAATGAGACAGGAATGCTAAGCATCTAAAATCATCATTGCCTAGCGTATTCAATTCCTCTCCACCTCATGAGTCTGAGATTTTTTTATTTTTATTTTTTTGAGACAGACTCTCACTCTGTTGCCCAGGCTGGAGTGCCATGGTGCTATCTCAATTCACTGCAACCTCCGCCTCCCAGGCTCAAGTGATCCTCCTGCCTCGGCTTCCTGAGTAGCTGGGATTACAGGCACATGCCACCATGCCCGGCTAATTTTTGTACTTTTATTTTTTTGAGACGGAATCTTGCTCTTTTGCCCAGGCTGGGGTGCAATGGTGCGATCTTGGCTCACTGCAGCCTCTGCCTCCCAGGTTCAAGTGATTCTCCTGCCTCATCCTCCCAAGTAGCTGGGATTACAGGCATGTCCCACCACTCCCGGCTAAGTTTTGTATTTTTAGTAGAGATGGGGTTTCACTGTCTTGGCCAGGCTGGTCTCAAACTCCTGACCTCAAGTGATCCACCTGCCTCAGCCTCCCTAGGTTCTGGGATTACAGGTGTGAGCCACTGCGCTCAGCCAAGTCTGAAATATTTTTTATAATAATAATTTTTCAAAAGTATGCTTAGTTAAGAAAAATATACTTCAAACAATCTAGACATACACTAGAAGTTAGTTCTGCCCTCTCCCACACGCCCTGCCTACTGAGGCAGCCAGTCCCAATAACTGGGCATGCATCCTTGTGGTCGGTCACCTTTGATCTTAACCACACAGTCTCGCCAAAGAGCCCTGGTGTGACTCTTGTACCCAAGAAATAATTGAGTTTTGCTAAATTATAGTAAGAGTGGTTTGTGCACACCATGGTTATCACAGGGCTCTGAGGGAGGAGTTGTGAACTATATGTACATATGGACGGAAAGGCTGGTGAGTGGGGCTTTGTTCCTTTTGAAAGAATGAAAGTGATGATTGCCCCCTTAGAATATTAATAAACATAATATTGCCTTAATATAAACATAAAACTGCCTTGGCAGTTCCTTTTGGCAGTGGCAGAATTGTCAGATATGTTGTAACTTCCATTTATTTTTTCTTCTTCTTTTTTTTTTTTTTTTTT